TAAATGAACATTACTTTTAATTATTCTGTTCGTTATTTAACTGAGTTTCGATGTAAAGACTTCTTATTAGACGTTAAGACAGTTCCGAGGAAAACTCAGTTGACCGCGCTCGCACTCCGGCGACCGGCTCGAAGCTTTCGCTCCCGCTTCTCGGCGCGCGTAATCCCGGAGCTCTGATTGGTCCGTGTTTTTCGTTAATAACTCAAAAACGACGCTTCAAACCCGATTTTTGCAAAGGGAAATCTTGCTTAGAATCACGTCAGCTACCTCCCATTTCAGGGACCTACACGAGTTGTGAGACACCCTGTATAGTTCCTGTCCATTCCTTTCTTACATCCCCGCGTCTAAGGCAAGGGCCTGCTAGTACGCCTTACTGATGAGTCCACTAGCAGACGAAACGTTCTCTCTCTCCTTTACTTTTCTGAGCCTCCCTACCATAGCTAACCGAACCGCCAAAACCTGGTTTTATGGTGTACGCGTTTTTATATATTTTTAAGTTTTTCATCGAATTTTAAACAATATTTACCAAAGTGTTTCAACGTACTTTTTCAAATGTTTTCGTATGTTTGTGCAAATGTTTGGACGTGTTTTCGTATTGCATGCTGGTATTTGTTTGCATGTTACCTATTTGTAAATATGTTTGTTTATTATAATTTATGAATTTATGAATATGAAGAGTTCTCTAACGTGCTTTGACTTTTTCTGCTTTTAAAAGGACGTTTCTATGCAAAGCCGAGGTACCTAATACAAGAAAGCAGCCAAACGATGTCTAACGATGCGATCCGAATGCAACCGATCGATCTGAGGCGCGTTACAAGCTAAGTGATGTGAGTCAGCAATCAGTGAGTCGTATGCTTTATGGTTCCTCCGGTTACCACCATGTCATAGGACGAATGCGGCGTCTCAGCCGATAAAAAAAATATGTGTCTCTTATTTTTGCCTACTTAACAAACGTATGAAGTTTCCTTGTGTGAGGTTTGTGGAATGTAGGGTACGAAATATGTAATTATTTAGAAACAGCTAAAACTTTCCGGGGAATAAACTATATGAATGTCATGGTTATACTGAATATATACATATATATATATATATGTAGTATAGTAGCAATAATACATTTTTGCTAATAATTTTTTAATAAAAATCGAACGACGGGAAAAAAAACTTTTTAATGTTACTCAAAAGGGTGACCTTCGAAACATGTATGAAGGTGAAGGTCAATAATACTGTCTCTCCAAAACGTAAATTTTACCGAATTTTTTTACAATTTCGAAAAGATCATTTCAAATCACGGCAATGCGGGAGAATGCAACGCGAAGTATCTGATCAATTTACTTTTTTTAAATTCTCGACTTATTGTTAGACCACTTTTATAACAAGGGACAAATATAGATCTGAAGTCTGAAATCTTTCATTAAGTTACTGGTTCTCGACCATCAGATTCTCGAAACCTGTTTTAAGTTTAATGAGTTAGCGAAAATTGGTGCTCCTTATCGAGTAACCTGGGCTCCGAACCTCTGATAATTATATTAATAATTAATCATTCTAAACCTAATATAAATAAATTTTTCCCTTTTACTACCCACACGGATGAGATAAGGGGTTGAAACTTGGTGTGAGATGTTTTTTTTGGATATGCTACCGATTGATGAATTGGATTTCTCATTCGACTCAGGGGCACATTTGACTACCTTATACGGCTATACCCATTTATCTGGATAATGATCCAAAGCACAAAGCTCTAGTAGTACAAAAATATTTGTTATGTCATCGTCCAAAAATTTTACATACACTTCCACAATCCGTAGACATAGACCCGATAGAAAATGTACAAAATACATACAAAAATTAGAAAAATTATATTAAAAAAAAGCATATAAAAGAATTAGAAGAAAATATTATTGTACAAAAAATGTTTGTAACTAAATATTGAAATTGCAGCTTTTCCTGCATTTTATATGTAAATTCTTTATTTTTCATAAAATGTTAAAACACTAATCTGGCGTAAAAATATGATAGCATTTTGTTTAAAATGTATTGTATTATACTTTGAAATGTATTAAAAAATAATTGCTTATTTGTTGCGCTAAGGAGTTTCTTCTCGAGTTGCCATTATTGATCAAATTACTCAAACTAGTATTTAGCAACAACTATTTATTAATTAAGTGAACAAAAAGCTATATTCCTAAGACGCGTGTTCTCTTTGAGTTCTCGCACTATTCTGATTTTAAAATTTCCCGGTTGCTCGCAACTACTGGAAGTCTTGACCATTCGATTGCATTCATCCAGCTTGACGCCTTCCGCGAGCCGCTATAGTTCGTGGTCAAAACCAGTTTCACATCATTTTATTGCGTCGCTCGCTTCACGTTACAACATTGTCCTGTCCCAGGTTCAAAATGGTCAAGAGAAGGTGATTGCCTACTTTTCGAAGATGCTGGGAAGATGCTGATCATTATCTCTATGGTCGAAAATTTGTAGTGAGAAGTGATCATGCCTTATTAAGATGGTATCTTTCATTCAAGAGACCGGAGGGACAAACCGCAAGATGGATAGAGAGGCTTCAACAATATGATTTTGAAATTAAACATCCAGTTGGAAAGAACCATGGAAATGCGGACAATCTCTCAAGGAGACCCTGTAAATCGACGAATGTGTAAACGCACAGGAAGAGGACGAAGATCTTCAAGTTATTCGAAAATACAAGAAGAAAGGAAATAACCAATTTGGCAGGAAGTTTCCGCTCTTTCTACTGGAGCGAAATATTTTTGGACCATTTCGGATTCGTTGGAAACAGAACAGGGTTTGCTGCTCTGAAGACGGGAATCCGTGGACGGAAATGAGATTACAATATTAGTAATAGTGCCAAGAAGTAAGGTCAAGGACGTGCTATCGTTCGGTAACAAATTTGCGCTGATTGTGGTGGACTATTTTTCAAAATGGCCGGAGATATTTCTTTTACCAAACCCACAAACTACAATTGCAGAAACTCTTCTTCGTGAGATGGTTAGTCTCACTCTTTTTCATGAGACGATTAGACATGGTGTGCCGCTGGAGTTGCACTCTGATCAGGGTTGGAGTTTTAAATCTTGCATTTTCAAGGAGCTAATGAAGATACTGGGAATAAAGAAGACAAGAACAACTCCTTTACACCCTCAGTTAAATGGACTCATGGAGAGGATGATTAGAACCTTGTTGCAATATTTGTCTTAGTTTGTTGCTGAAAACCAGAAAGACTGGCATAAATGGGTTCTGATGTTCCTCTTGGCCTATCGTTCTTCACGACACGAAGTTACCCAGAGTTCTCCGTCAATGGTTCTCATGGGACGACACTTGCGTTTACCCACGGATATCCTAAGAGAACTGGTGCTTCATATACGAAAAGAAGAAAATGACTTTATCGAGAAAACCCGAAAAACAATCGTGGAAGTACATCGCTTCGATCGTCAGCGTGTGCAGGTCTGTGCTGAGAAGATGAAGACATGGTACGATTCTCTGTCAAAACCATTTTCTTTTATGCCAGGAGAGAGAGTCTGGTTTTGTAATCCTCGAAGACCAAAGGGGAAGCCCCAAATTACAGTTTGATTGGGAAAGACCTTATGTGGTAAAGGATCGGTTGAACGAATTAATTTATCGAATAGTTCGTCTTCCGAAGTCCAAACCTAAGGTCGTAAATGTCAATCAGCTTGCTCGCTACCAAGCTTCACATCCCCCATGAATGAAGAATAGCTAGAAATAAAATTTGAGGAAGATGTTCGGAATCTTCGCCCAAGAAGAGGACGCCTCGTCGCAGGAGGCTACGGTGAGAATTACTTACTGGATGCGGACTTTCCTTTTTCGTGAATCTGTGCAGATGAGGACGTGCGATTCTCGTAGGAGAGTCACCCCTCAGTCATAATTCTATTCTGATAGAGTTTTGGCGGTCGGAATGCGAAATTATGGAGAGTTATTCCGTGAGATAGGGAGAATCCACATCTCAGAAGTCTTCAAGAAGAAAGTGCACAAGTCTCAAGTACCAAGGGGAAGGGCGAGGAGCAGTCTGTACATCGTTTTCCTCAAAGGGGTTAAGGACAACGGATCCATCGTCAGGAAACCGAAGTGAGTGAACACCGGCATCTTGCTCAAGGTTTTTGTATAGTTTTCCTTGAGACAATGGACGAAAGTCAAGACATTAACTGTCTGATAAAGGCCACTCAAGTAAATATTTCAATTTAGCAGTTTACTTCCTTTGCAGACAGTGGTGTGCAGGTTCTGACCAAATTCGCGAGAGTTCGGAGATTAGGAAGATTGATTTGAAGATGGTTTATCTGCAATTAACTTGCCGCAGTCGGGATGACTGCTTTTTGAGGAAATGGGGGCAATGTTGCGACGTGAAACTAGCGACGCGGTATAATGATGTAAAGCTCGTCTTGACCACGAACTGAAGCGGTTCGTGGAAGTCGTCAAGCGAGACGAGTGCGATCGAGTGGTCAAGACTTCCGGTAGTTGCGAGCAACCGGGAAGTTTTAAAATTAGAATAGCGGCAGAACTCAAAGAAAACACATGTCTTAGGAATATAGCTTTTTGTTCACTTAATTAATAAATAGTTGTTATTAAATACTACTCTAACGAATTTAATCAATAATGGCAATTCAAGAAGAAACTCATTGATGCAACAATATTTTCAATCAACAATAAATGATTCATGTTTTTGTAAAATAAACAATATGATATATAAATCACCCCTTTCTGTATACAATAGCAAATGCAGATGTACTGCAGCCTTCGAGTGTTCACGTGTAAGTACCAACCGTTTTTCCGTCTTAATTCAAATTTTCGAGAAATTTGATTTTGATAAAAGTAATGCAATATTTGAACTTTAAAGATATTTTGTGACAACCGTTATTTAATTACTTTAAATACATAATTATACTATAAAAATAGTTTCGAATAGGATGATGTAACAGTAAAATTTTTGGTAATCTAGAATCTAGACCTTTAGAAACTAATAGATCTATTCTAAAATGAATGATAGATCAAATGAACGATACGACACGAACGTTAAATGAACGATAGATAGAATGAAATGAATGATCTATTCTAAAAGGAATGACAGATCTCTTCTATACGTCATCTATGATACTGCATTCTCACTGTTATATCGACGCGAGATGCCGTATTGTTGATGCAAGTTGTCTCTCTGTAGCGCTACTAATCAAGTACAAACTTAACATTTTGTTAGGAATTTTACCTTTCCTTCTGTTTTTTACAGCCTGTCAAAGATAGGATGTTATCGTTTCCACTTTTTTTAATGCTGTCATTACTTGCTTGCTTGTTTCTATGTCAAAAAACTAACAAACACCTACATATCATCTAATCATCTAATCAACTCATCTAATTATGAAGTTCTTTTTAAATTAATAATATAAGTTTGGCTTAAATTTGACAGAGAAATAAATTCAGAAAAATCTATAGAAAGCAGAATTATTTCTTATTCACGATGATTAATTACTGCGGTATTCATCTTCTTTAAACAAAATCTCAACCGTTCATGTCGGTTATAGTTTTTAATGTTTGTGACACACCATTGTTCAAAACGATCGTAGATCTTCACACGGTTTATAATAAATAGCCTTCGCTTTAGTTACGACTGATACAGATCATTCACTTCTTAACCCATTTGTTTCCACAAGCATTTTTTTTTAAAAGGGGCAATGATGTTTAAACAGATATTTAATACAACTTTATTGAGTATATAAAACCTTTTGTTATCATAAAAATAATAACACGTCTCTTCATATTATAAACTTTAGTACTGTACTCATATGAGTATATTGGGAACACACGTGTACTT